TGCCATGGCTGGGTTGGCAAAGTCAGGCGCCAGAAACTCAATACAGGTCTCCTGTGTGAGTGACATGCACTCAATTACTTAAGCTGTTATCACCTGCTGCCTCCCAGGATTAGAAAGAAGCTGGAGTCAAGAACCCAGCCACAATACTATGGGCTATGGACATCTTAACTACCATGCCAAATGCCTGCCCCTCCAAAAACTTTTTCAAGTACTCTCATATGTCAAAAAATATTGTGTGAAGGCAGGAAAGAAGGTACCTTGTAAAAACATCTGTATTTGGGAATCCCTAATTTTCTTTAAAAAAAGACTGAATCGATCTACTATTACTAAGATCAGTCCCAAGTGATAATGAGAGCACTGTGATGATCCTGTTCGACTCTGCTAACTGTTTCTCTTTCAAGATTAAAAACTTCCGTGAAGCTGGTTCCCAAGAAACAACGCTCTGCACGCTGACATCTGATCCTCTTTTCTGCGAAAGCCTCCAGCCCACAGATGCCACCATGGTGCCTGGGAACACAACATGTAAAGCAGGGAAGATTCATGGGTAGGAGAACCTTTGTAGCGATTCAAGTCCATAAATAAGGCTGATCTATGTCTTAAAAGCTTTATGCATCATATTCAGACGCAGCAGGGAATCCGGAGACCCTGCTGCTTCTGTCACTTTTAGCCAATTGTTCGTTACAATCAACAACCATCAAGGCCTAATGACTGTCAAGGTCTAAGTTAGGGCCACACAAGGCACAAAGAGAAATGATGTGCCTTTTCTGGTATCCCAGTTTATTCTCTCCATCTTCTGACAGTGAATGGTGAGGAGAACTAAGGAAAGAGAAAGGGAATTCATCTTCCAGGTACTCTGCTTTTGAAAAAAATATATGATCTCATTCACTCTTCACAATAACTCTCTTAGGTGGACTTCTCACTTTATGCTTGAGTTATCCAAGCCTCAGAGAGACTGGAAAATTCGCCCAAGGCCACAGGGCTATTAAGTGGAGAACTCAGATTCAACCTAGATGTGTCTGATTGTAGGATATCCAGTTCTCCAAGCTGCCTGCCAGATGGAAAAGTCTAATGGTGAGCAGACCAAGTTCCCTCAGCTTATAAAAACACCCCTAATGTGGGAGACCAAAATCCGTGACTACATCTGACTAAAATACTCAGCTCCCTTATCTGAGCTAAAGTTTTTTAATTATTTATCTTAATTTTTATACACTACTGGCTAGACTATAAATGGATACATTTCAGGGAAAAATTTGGCAATGTGCCCATGTTACACTCCTATTCCCAGGACTAAATTCTCACAGAACATAAAGTCAGCAGCGTGCACAGACATGTACGGGCAGGGCAGTCAGCAAGTTCCACACAATTCACCTAAACTAAGGATGAGTATTCCTATGTAGACACGGGATTCCTATGTAGTATTCCTATGTAGACTCACAATTCACTGTTAAGTGAAAAAATAAAACAAAACTGATGTGTACATCACAAAAGCACTGGAAAAATGCATCTGAATGTAAAATGTACTTGTACTGATTTTCAGTGGCTTTCTAAATGTTTACAATACTCTGGCTTTGGCCTGACCCAGCTGCAGCTGTTACGATCATTTGGGGAGTGAACCAGCAGATGGAAGATCTCTCTGTCTCTCTTTCTGCCTTTCAAACAAATAATCTTTTTAAAAATAAGTTTTCTGATTTTAATGCACGCACAAATCTAGTTATACCTTTTCTACATGAGTGACAAAAGTTTATATATATTATAATTAGTCTTTGATTTCTGGTCTAAAGAAAGCAGTATTGCATTAAGTGTCTAAAGCGTTCTAACTCCTGTGGATACATGGGAACATGCTGCCCTCTGCTGGAGAAGTAATTCTACATCAACAGGCACAATCTGTTTTTTTTGTTTTTTCATCACTATATAGCTAAGACACCGTGTTGGGCACTGTAGGATCCCTACAAGAAAAGGCAAAGTTAATTCTGTTCTTAAAAAATACAAATATCAAAGAAAGAAAATAAAAAGTATATGTATTTAGGAATTCTGTTTGGACTCCCTGATAGAAAGGTACTTTTATGTTTATTAGCATCATCATTCTTAAAAGAAAATAAATAGCTCCATCTCATTATAGAACTCAAAAGCACACTGCGCTATACTAAACATAAAAAAATAAAAATAGTTCCCACAACCTATTCCACAAACTTGCAACTGGAACATGCATTTCCTGCACGAGAGCCTGACTTGAACACATCTATCCCACACCTCCGACACAGGCACGCTCCCTGGCTCCCGGCCACCGGCCTGACTTCCTCTCTAGCTCCTGGACACTGCAATCTGGCTCAGCTTTAACAGCAGGACAGCCAGGACTGGCTAAGCCACAGAGGGAAGCTGGGAACTCAAGCCAGGGCTCTCGCACACAGGGACAGGGACTCATCTCTCTGAGCCATCACTTGCTGCCTCCTGAGTCTGCAGCAGCAGAAAGCTGGGACCGGCAGCCAGAGCTGGCAATCAAATCCAGTCACTCTAACGTGGGATGTCGGTGTCTTAATCATTAGGTGTGACTCAAAACTATTGAACATACATATTTAATTCTGAAGTTAAATGCATGAATTAAATGATAAATAAAAGTTATCATTCTGCAAAATTATCTGACGTGACCAGTATTTCATTAAATAATGTAGCTTGTTGGGGATGGTTCTGCGGTACAGTGGGTTAAGGCACCGCTTGCAATGCCAGCACCCCATATAAGCGCTGGTTCAAGTCCCAGCCACTCCACTTCTGATACCGCTCTCTGCTAATGCTCCTAGGAAAGCGGCAGAAGGTGGGCTAAGAGCTTGGGACTCTGCAACAGTGTTGGAAGTCTGGGTAGAGTTCTTGGCTCCTGGCTTCAGCCTGGCCCAGTCCTGGCCATTGAAGTCATTTGGGGAGTGAACTAACAGATGAAAGATCTCTATCTCTCTCTTTCTCTCTCTCACCTCTCAACTCCTCCTTTTAATTAAACAAATCTTTAAAAATATATATTTCTTTTAATTTTACTAGTCATAAAGATTCATTTTACACCCATATACAGTTCCTTGTCATTATCCTAGGTGGTTATGTTTTATAAAGTTGCTGAATTACACTGAACTGTCAAATAATGAACTGAATTATTAAATACTAAATTTTTAAATAAATACATGTTGTACCTGGGGAAAACACAGGGTTAGGTTTCTTCAAGCCTATACTCACCACCTTTTCCTCAACTAATCAATAGGAACTTTTTAAATGTATGTTTCTGTTTAAGAACCCCTTATTTAGGGGTGGACATTGCGCTCAGCAGGTTAAGTCACTGGTAGGAATGCCCACATCCTACATCAGAGCACTTGATTTGAGTGCTGGCACTTCCGCTTCCCATCCAGCTCCCTGCTAACGCGACTGGGAAAACAGCAGCAGATGGCCCAAGTAACATGGGTTGCTGCACCCATGTGGGAGACCAGGATGGCGTTCCAGCTCCTGGCTTTGACCTGGCACAGCCTGGCTGTTGCAGCCATTTGGGAAGGGAATTAGTGGATGGAAGCTCGCACGCTCTCTCTCTCTCTGTATGTGTGCATGTGTGTGTGTGTAACTCTGCCTTTCAAGTAATAAATATTCATAAAAAAAAGAAAAGAATATGTTCTTGAGACATTAACCATGAACTTACAAGCCAGCTTCACTACAACTCACGCCTGAACAAAACGTATGTGACACCGTTTACTCTGGAAGTCTTGTGCTCAGGAACTCAGATAGCACTTCAGCATGTAACTCAAGGGCCACCATACACAGGAAAAGCACCAACCAAAATCACAGAAATACGGAGACCACGGCATTAAACACTCGAGATGACAGACGGCCACCTTGTTCCACCTCGGCTGGGAACATGCACCTTGGGGTGACTCAGTTTTTTCTTTGCTCTGTGCACACACTTATCTGTGAACAGCCACAAAAGTACCACAGTACTGATTTGGGGTTATAAGTAAATTTTAGTGAGCAGGCCAATTCGCAAATACTGAGGATTAACTGTATCATGTAATGCCACTCTCTTTCTGTTTACTGATTAAAACTACAATTTTAACTGTTTATAGACTGTGCATAGTATTTATATCTCAGAGCATGTTAAGCACGTCACTATACAACCATCTGAGAACACTATACTACTTAAACATTATTTCTATAGGAAGTGCATTTTGGGTTATCATCCAACAATTCACCAACAAGCTGAAAAATAAACCAGTTATAGATTGAAGATTTATGTTTATGCAGGATCTCACTGGAACTTAGCAGTACATTTAAAAAAAAAAAAAAAGAACAATAAGCTTGTTCCACATTCTCTGTCATGTGCTGGGAATTTAGTCTACAGTTGGCCTTGCCCATGTGTAACAACTGTCCTTACCCGTGTGTACACCAATTTTATTACAGCAAGAGATGTGTATGTTCATTGATTGAGGATTGGTTAAATAAATTACAGGATGCCCATCAACGGGAACACTGCAAAAAGAACTCAGAAGGTATGTATGCACCAATATAACAGCATCTCCAAGATGTAAGTTACGAAAAGGGAAGATAAATCAAATGCAAAACAATACGTAATATATGTAACAAACCAAAACACACGAAAAAAAAAAAAACCTAGTATATACTCATGTGCTTGGATATGCAAAACTATCTGCTGAAAGACACACAGAAACCAGCGATAGTGTCTGGGGAAGGGAACTGTGTTAGGTAAAGGGCGGTGGGGGGTGCTTACCTACCACTAGATATACCTTTGTGCTTTTAGAATTTTTTATTACACATCTTTCTTTTGATTGGTTAATATTTTTTTTGAAATATCTAAACATCAGTCTTAATTTTCAATCTAAAATACATCATATGACTGATAAACTTATCTATTGCACAAATCATTTTATTCTTATAATTCCTTATCTTCCACATTTCTAATTAATATGAAAATAAACCAGAGAAAGAATATGATTTCCTGAAGACAGCTGCACCCTTACCTTAAAAATGATGACAATGGGTATATCTTCTGACAAAGTATTGTGCCTCAAATAAAATCGCCCTTGTTTCACAGCCATGTTGGTTCTGCTTTTTTTCTCATGGGTTGAGCTACAAGTGAACACACATTGGTTAAACTGCACCCTCACTTAGCTTCAAGCTGGTACCATGCTATAGCAATGATCACCAATTGAGGAGGTTCAACCGATCAACTGATCACCATGGTCCTTTTTTTTTTTATTTTTATTTTTTATTTTTTTTTTTGACAGGCAGAGTGGACAGTGAGAGAGAGAGAGACAGAGAGAAAGGTCTTCCTTTTGCCGTTGGTTCACCCTCCAATGGCCGCCGCGGCCGGCGTGCTGCGGCCGGCGCACCGCGCTGATCCGATGGCAGGAGCCAGGAGCCAGGTGCTTTTCCTGGTCTCCCATGGGGTGCAGGGCCCAAGCACCTGGGCCATCCTCCACTGCACTCCCTGGCCACAGCAGAGAGCTGGCCTGGAAGAGGGGCAACCGGGACAGAATCCGGCGCCCCGACCGGGACTAGAACCCGGTGTGCCGGCGCCGCTAGGCGGAGGATTAGCCTAGTGAGCCGCGGCGCCGGCCCACCATGGTCCTTTACAATACGTTGTTTTGTAGAGATGCACAATCTTTCTCCCGCCCTGCTATACCCCTATGACTGGTAAGTGCTGGATAAACGGACATTGTAACTGCCTCTCCATCACAAAGAACAATGCAGACTCTAAGGCAATCAGTTCTTTACTGGTTGTCAGAAGAGAAACTCATCTTACCTATGCCACAAATCTTTCTCTTCTAGGAATGCAGTAACCTCCAAATTTCAAACTGATGTGATAATAAATCAGAGGAAAGAGGTAACAGAAATGATATAAGGGAAGCTGTTATTGAAAACTAGTATGTGAAGGAAGCTGGCCCAGAAAACTAAAACTCAGATGTGAAGGCCCTGTTATACTTCATTAAATAACACTTAAATGTTTAATGCTCTGATTATATGGGTGCAAGAACATACATATAAATGGTCAAGGGCTGAAAGGGAGCATAAAAAGCTAAATGACTTTATTTTTTTTTTTCATTTTTAATAAGTCCCTTACATGCTGTAATAAAAAATAATAAAATGGTAATTTTTCAAATGACATCTCACTCTCTCATCACTAAAATTTTACAATCAATATTCAGAGCTTACAGACTGACATAATAAGGTGAAAGCAAATGGTTTTTTAAAATTATACTGCCTGTTAAAAAATCCTGGCTAGTGAGTATCTGAAGATAGTCCTTGGTTAATAGTGAAATTACCATCACTCATACCTGGTAACAGAAGCTCCAACAGTCCCTTTTCTGTCAGCCTCCACAATGATCCTGTTCTTAGATAGCTGCTCTTGGATAAGAATAACTTTTTCTACTCCCTTCACAATGAAGTAGCCACCTGCCCAAAGGAAACCAGAAAAGCTTCACCACCTGTTCTTTAAGCTGTGTGACTGATGACCAACAGGCATCTCCTGGGTTCAAGGTCAACCAACCCCCCGCACCCCCCATCCCTGCTTCCTGGCTTTGGCTTTATGGACTGACAAGGGTGTCAGCACAGGATTTTACACATGTGAGCCACACAATGATGAACTGCCTGAGGAAAGGGAATGTATCTTATTGTAGTATCTATCACCAAATCAGATATAAAAGAAAAAATACTTTATCTTTTAGAAATATCGTCTAATAGAATAAAGTTGGAACCAAATTTCTGGGCATTTTGTCAGCATAGCTGTATATAACAAATTCATTAAAAGGCCGAATGGTTGCCATTGTTTTTAAGGGAAAATGTCAAAATAATAGCAATAGCAGAAGAAAAAGACAAAAAAAAAAAGCACAAAGAAGAGAGGCAAATCGATAGCATCTCATGTACCTGGATCTAAAGGACATTCGTTCAGCTTGGCAAATTCTGCTGGTGTCTTCCCTGTAAGGACGCAATTTGAACTACGCAGCATTATGGGCATTCTGTTTAAAATAAAGCAAAAGAAAATACCACATTCAGATTGCCACTGGCAAAAATGACAAAATGTGCAGTGCACACATCACTAAAGGAACTGCACTTCTATTATTTCTGCATTTCATGTTAGAAAAGACGGAGGAATGGCAACTCATGAAAGAGCCAAGCAAAATGACAGTATTTTCTCAGGTACGCTGCCTTCTAGACAGATAATAAAAACTCAAATGCCTGATTTACTTAAATTTTGCATATAGGCTTCAAAAAATTATTCACTTATTTTTTATTTTTATTTATTGGAAGGGTGGAAAGACAGAGAGATAGAAAAAGACAAAGAGAGATCTTCCATCTGCTGGTTTACTCCCTTGGTGCCTACAAGGGCCACGGCTGAGCCAGGTCGAAGTCATGAGTCTGGAACTCAATCTGGGCCTCCCAGGAACCCAGATATTTGAGACATCATGTGCTGTCCCCTAGAGTGCACATTAGCAGGAAGCTGGAATTGGAAGCAGAGCTGGGACTCGAACCCAGGATTCCGACATGGGATGTGGGCATCATAAGCAGCACGCTAACTGTTTTTCTAAACACTGTCCTTGCATATGAAAGTCAGAAACGCCAGCAATTCTTCATGGTAAGGGAAAGGATTCTCATTGCTATTTTTGTTTGTTTGCTTTACTTTATTACTGTCTCAATTGATTTGAAATTATGTAATAAGTATTATCTGTACTAGAGAGCAGTGTGCCTGAGGAAATATTTCATTTCATTGACTCTTGTGTCAGTTAAAAACCCATTAATCCAAAAGGCAAAATGAAGAAATTGAAATATATATAAAAGACCAAAAAGATTTAAATTGTAGAATAAAATGATAGAAAATGCAAACACATAAATATAAATGTACGCTATTTTCATGACAAATGTTTAAAAAAATCTAGTCATTTGCAAAAGACACTACAAGAGATAAATTAGATAATGCATAATAAAAGGTACAATTCATCAGGAAGAAGTACCAATTCTAAACTTCTATGTATCTAATATCATAGCTTCAAAAGCCAAAATATAAAAAAAAATAGAAGAAATCGACCAACTCACAATCATAGTGGGAGATTTCAACATAACTAGCCTGGTAATTAATAAAACAAATCAAAGATCAGTGAAAATACATAGCATCTCAACAACACATCTGACAATCTTGATCTGAAGGAGAAAGAGACAAAGCACAGAACATCTACAGGACATCCTTCGTTTCCACACAGCACTTAACAGGAACAGGCCTCTGCAACATTCCCCACAGTGACATAGAGCACCAATATGGAAACTTGAAGTCCTTTAAAGAACTGATAGGTTAAGAAGAAATCATAATGGCAGGCAGGGATAATATTCTCTTTTTACATAAGGGGAAATCAAGACACTGACTAGTGAAAGAATATGTAAGACTGGTTTAATTCTGTAATTAATACACAGTTATTCTTAAGTGTTAAAAATTAACTGAAATGTGATCCCTGTTAAACATAAGAGTGGGAATAAGAGAGGGAAGAGATGTATAATTTGGGACATGCTCAAGCTGACTTGCCCCAAATGGTAGAGTTAAAAACATACCAGGGGATTCCAATTCAATCCCATCAAGGTGGCATGTACCAATGCCATCTCACTATTCCAAGTGATCAATTTCAGTTCACAATTGATCATAATGAAAGGACTAAGAGTCAAAGGGAGCACATAAACAAGTCTAGTACCTGCTAACACTAACCGATGGAATAAATAAAGGGGAGAGTGATCCAACATGGGAAGTGAGATACTCAGCAGACTCATAGAATGGCAGATGTCCTAAATAGCACTCTGGCCTCAGAATCAGCCCTAAAGGCACTCGGATCTGGCTGAAAAGCCCATGAGAGTATTTCAGGCATGGAAAGCCAAGACACTCTGGCAAAAGATCTCTGTGAGTGAGATCCCAGTGGAAAGAACAGGTCTTCAAAGAAGGAGGTACCTTTCTCTGAAGGGAGGAGAGAACCTCCACTTTGACTATGACCTTGTCTAAATAAGATAAGAATCAGAGAACTCAGAGGACTTCCATAGCCTTGGAAACTCATGACTGGAGCATAGGGAGACTACTGATGCCATAGACAGGAGTGTCAATTGGTAAAGTCAACAACAGGAGTCACTGTGCACTTACTCCTCATGTAGGATCTCTGTCCTTAATGTGCAGTGTATTGAGATTTAATGCTATAACGAGTACTCAAACAATATATTTCACTTTGTGTTTCTATGGGGGTGCAAACTGTTGAAATCTTTACTTAATGTATACTAAACTGATCCTCTGTATAAAAAAAAAAAAAAAACAAAAGAAATTATCACTCCCAACTTGACTCTCTCACTGGGATTAAACATGACAATAGGTCTGATCTGATTTCATCATCATTTAAAAAAAATCATCTATTATTTTTCACTTTATGTTTCTGTGTGGGAGCAAACTGTTGAAATCCTTACTTAATGTATACTAAGCTGATCTTCTGTATATTAAGATAATTGAAAATGAATCTTGATGTGAATGGAAGGGGAGAGGGAGTGGGAAAGGGGAGGGTAGTGGGTGGGAGGGACGGTATGTGGGGGAAGCCATTGTAATCCATAAATCGTACTTTGGAAATTTATATTCATTAAATAAAAGTTAAAAAAAAAATAATAATTTAAAGCTACTACAGCAACCAAAAGAACTAGACAAGCAGCCAAGTGTGTAAGAGGAAGGAAGAAGTCAAGCTGGGTGCCATAGAGAAGCTACGTGTATCTAGAGGAAGAGCCAGTAAAGGGTGTCTGAAGGCGCTCATCAAGAAATAAAGGTGGCCGGCGCCACGGCTCAATAGGCTAATCCTCCGTCTGTGACGCCGGCACACCGGGTTCTAGTCCCGGTCGGGGCGCCGGATTCTGTCCTGGTTGCTCCTCTTCTAGTCCAGCTCTCTGCTGTGGCCCGGGAGTACAGTGGAGCATGGCCCAAGTGCTTGGGCCCTGCACCCGCGTTGGAGACCAGGAGAAGCACCTGGCTCCTGGCTTCGGATCAGCGTGGTGCGCCGGCCACAGCGGCCATTGGAGGGTGAACCAACGGAGAAAGGAAGACCTTTCTCTCTCTCTCACTGTCCACTCTGCCTGTCAAAAAACAAAACAAAACAAAACAAAACAAAACAAAACAAAACAAAGAAAGAAATAAAGGTAAGGGGCCAGCGCTGTGGCACAGTGGGTAAAGCCGCCACCTGCAGTGCTGGCATCCCGTATGGGCACCAGTTCAAGTTCTGGCTGCTCCACTTCTGATCCAGCTCTCTGCTATGGCCTGGGAAAGCAGTACACAGGTCCTTCATGGGAGACCCTGGAAAAAGCTCCTGGTTCCTGGCTTAGGATCAGCACAGCTCCAGCCACTGTGGCCATTTGGGAAGTGAACCAGTGAATGGACGACCTTTCTCTCTCTGTAATTCTGCTTCTTAAATAAATAAAAATAAAATCTTAAAAAAAAAAAAAAATAGGGGCCAGTGCCATGGCATAGTAGGCTAAGTGTCTGCCTGCAGCACCGGTATCCCATATGGGTGAAGGCTCACGTCCTTGGCTGCTCCACTTCTGATCCAGCTCTCTGCTATGGCCTGGGAAAGCAGTAGAGGAAGGCCCAGGTCCTTGGTCCCCTGAACCCCCAATGGAGCCTAGAAGCAACTCTTGGATCCTGGCTTTGAATCGGCCTGGCTCCAGCCGTTGCAGCCATTACTCCCCTTTGGGGAGTAAACCAGTGGATGAAAGCCCTGCCTCTGCCTTTCTGTAACTCTGCCTCTCAAATAAATAAATCAATCTTAAAAAAAGAAATAAAGGTAAAAGCACAGTGTTAAAAGTAACGACTGTAGGCCGGCGCCGCGGCTCACTAGGCTAATCCTCCGCCTAGCGGCGCTGGCACACTGGGTTCTAGTCCCGGTCGGGGCGCCAGATTCTGTCCCGGTTGCCCCTCTTCCAGGCCAGCTCTCTGCTGTGGCCAGGGAGTGCAGTGGAGGATGGCCCAGGTGCTTGGGCCCTGCACCCCATGGGAGACCAGGAGAATCACCTGGCTCCTGGCTCTTGCCATCGGATCAGCGCGGTGCGCCAGCCGCGGCGGCCATTGGAGGGTGAACCAACGGCAAAAGGAAGACCTTTCTCTCTGTCTCTCTCTCTCTCACCGTCCACTCTGCCTGTCAAAAAAAAAAAAAAAAAAAAAAAAAAAAGTAACGACTGTAAAAGCCACTAGAAGAAATAAAAGTATTTCCCAAGTGGGAAGGGGATTTGGACAAGGAAGGGGAGGGAGCAGGGAGGGAGGCTACTGTTCTGTAAAATGTTCTTAGGAATAGTATTTGGATTAAAGTAAAATCTTGGCTCAAAAACGAATTGAATGAGATGACATATTTGACGTAGACAGTGAAGGTACGTATGAGCACTGAGTAGCAGAGGCCATCTTTATGAATGCAGGGCTAACAAATGAAATCACCTACCGCAGTCTCTGGCACAAAGTAGGTAATTCAACAAATATCAGTCACATGACTGCTCTGTAACCTCAGGATTTAAACTCTAAATCTTCCTATTCACATTTTTTTGCCCCTCAGTCTTTCTGGCCTTTCCTTCATAATATTCAGTCTGGTTCATAATTTAGCAACAGTCCAAGATTTAACTGGATACCAGTATGGTATGTATGCACCAGAAAGAAAGATGTTCTCATCTTAACACTGACAGTCAGTCCTAGGAAAACAAAGATTAATATATGAATGTCTCCATGTATTCTAACTGAGGAATAAGAAGAAAATACAGAAGCCCCTCCTTTGGGGGAAGTACAGAAGGATCTGTGAAACCTGTATGTTCCCTGGTCTGGTCTCCGCTATCACAGTACCAGCACTTACCAAACAGTGCCATGGGCACCTACACTTGCTTCCCTGGTAGCTGCGAGGGGATGGAGCTAACAGGAGCTTTAGGTTGCTTATTTCTACTCATCTGACTACCCATGAATGGTACAGGATAGATGACAAGTAGTTGGTGCAACAAATGGATATTTATTAAGCTTTTAGCACTTCTGAGGGGAGAAATCATTTGAATAGGAATCATGTGAACTAAGCTTGAAGTCCAATAGCTTCATTAAACTCACAATACTGTAGTTGTATCCATTTCTACAGGAGGGTTAATGTACTTTCCTGATTAGGAAGAGCAGATTGCAAAACTGTAGCTGACACAATCCATGATCATTTCAAATTTGCTCTGGGTAAATAAGTAACTTCTCCCTTAAAAACTGCTATGTGGGAAATAAACTTCCAAAAAAACTCAAATCAACATGATCTACCAAGAATACCAGCCCAAGAGAGTTCACCGAAATTTTCCTACCCAACTTATCCCCAACATCTCAGAGTTATTAGGATAAAAGAGAAGTATTTTCCTTAGCTTTACAGAAAATTTCTAGATGTGCTGAATGTTGCTTTAGATGCTCTACACTGTGTAGACTCATCAGATCCCAAAAATACTTGCAGGAAATGGGGTACCATCTCCCACATTTTACAGATGAGGAAATGGGGCAAGGAGAACTTGCATCAAGGTTATGTGGGCTGGAATCCAGGCCGTGTGGCTCCAACACGGACTGCATTGCTTACCTGCCAATGGGTAAGGCGTTGCGGATAACCCTCTGACTGCCTCGGGTGTATTCGATGTCCACTGTGATGGGGGCAGAGTACGTCATGTCCCTCAAACGGCACTGGAACAAAATCACAGTTACTGTCCCTCCCCTCCACAAAGCAAAGGGTCCTGACCACATGAAATGTCTCCACCTCTAGAAGTACGGCCCCGGTGAGCATTGCTCTACTGAGCATGTGCTGCCTTAGGGCTTCCGAAGTTCCAGCTCACCTTGTCCATGAGGGGGATGACAGCATGTATGGATCCAGACATCGCCACAGATCCCTGGCTCTGCCAACCCAGGGATGGGATAATATATCTATTATCAGTTCTCTCCTCATTGATCTGATGCCATCATCAGCCTGCTCCCATAGCTTTATTTTATCTTATTTTTAAAAGATTTATTCTATTTGAAAAGCAGAGTTACAGAGAGAGAGAGACAAAGAAAGAGAGAGAAGGAGGGAGGGAGAGAGAATGAGAGAGAGATTTTCCATCTATTGCTTCACTCCCCAAATGGCCATTGATAGTTAGAACTGGGCCAGGGCAAAGCCAGGAGTCAGGAACTCCATCCAGGTCTCCCACGTGGTTGGCAGGGGACCAAGCACTTGGGCCATCTTCCCCTGCTTTCCCAGATGCATTAGCAGGGAGCTGGATCAGAAGCAGAACAGCCGAGACTCGAACTTGCATTCCAAGTGGCAGCTTGATCCCACTGCACAACCCTGGCACCCACCACATAAGTTTTAAAGAACCTTCTGCATGTCAGGCTCCTCATCTGTAAAATGGGGATGAGGAGGAGGATCTTCGTTCCCAAAGAATAAACAAGTATATGTTTGGCTTTATATATATATATATATATATATATATATATACACACATATATATAGTTATTTCTACTGTTATGTACATTTTACTTGTACACATTTTGTTATTTTAACCTCTCCACAAGAATAGAAACTCCTTATAGAAGGACATTGCATTTCATGTTTTCAATGCTGAGGCACAAAACCAATGTTCAGTAAATACTTGGTGACTAAACACCCAACTTCACCTATAGAGAATGTCTAGTTACTAGTTGGAATGTCATACTATTTGTTCAGTCTTACACAAAAACCATAAAACTCTAACACATTACTTGTTCTTTAATAAAGATTTCTATGCTACATTCGCTAAGTGCTATTTTGGCTTTAACACAAACCAAATGAATCTACAAAACTCATTTTCTTTCCTGATTCAATTCCTAACTATGGACACTAAATGGGGGAATTTGAAGAGGAATCTAGAGTCTGTTAAAAGCCAGCACGTAGCCCTGTCCTCCTAGAACTCCTTGTCTGCAGCTCTAGTAAGATCCTTACATTTCTATTTTTCTTTCATCTGTCTCTTCTGTTAACACGGTGTGTTCCTAGTTGTTGGTCTTCTCTGCCTAACGCAATGCCCAGGTGACCCTCAAAAAATGTGGTAAGGAGCTTCAGGAACGATTCCTTATGGTCTCCCTATTCGCTGTAAATAAATTACTGTGTGTGATCAAATAAAAGGGGTGGAGGAAAGGCAGTGACTGCTGCAATCAGCAGCACGCCACGTGAGGCACAGTGGCAGTGTCGGCTCAGACATTGTCAAAAGTTCAGCAACGGGGCATGTGTTCGATGCAGCAGTTAAGATGCTGCTGGTTATGCCCACATCCCAGGAGTCCCTGGGTTCAAGTTCAGGCTCTGCTTCCCGATGCAGCTTCCTGCTAACACACACCCAGGAAGGCAGCAGGGATGGCTCAAGTGCTTGGGCCCCTGTCACCCATGCGGGAGAACTGGATTGAGCTGCAGGCTCCTAGCTTCAGCTTGGCCCAGTACAGGCTGCTGCTGACATTTGGGGAGTAAGTCAGTGGACGGAAAACCTCCCCTTCCTCTCCCCATCTCCCACCCCCCACCACCAGCAGGGATTTCGCTTTCTCCCTGCCTTTCAGATAAATTAATTTTTTTTTAAATGTTTAAAAGTTTAGAAACAGGATATATATAGGACATTGTTATATAATAGTGCAAACTGATTAGAATTAAATGACAAAATAAATAGTACAGAATCGTTTCCTAATACAGCACAGGATACAGTGCTTATTTATATATTGGTTATCTTCGTCTCAGAAGAGATTTCTTTTGACCTGCTTTTCAGTCATCTGGTAAGACTATGTATTAAGGGAATACTCTTTTGAGATAAAGCAAGCAAGTCCAATTAAAGAAGTAAGGTTTATAATTACCTCATGAGGGGACACTGGCCTAGTTACATTGAAGCTCTCTTCAACGTCAGGAAGCCCGACATAGATATTCAGATACCTGAAAAGCAAAGTAGTCCATTACCAACCATAACTCTTTAAACAACATATAAACAAATAAGCCACTTTCCTCAAATAGAGGGATTATGCTTAGGCAAATGTTTATCTCTCTGAAGATGACAAAAATGTTAAAAATTATAATTGGGTAGAACTGGCATTGTGGCATAGTGGATAAAGCCGCTGCCTGCTACACCAGCATCAATTATGGGTGCTGTTTTGTGTCCTGGCTGCTCCACTTTCTAAGCCAGCTCCCTGCTAGTAGCCTGGAAGGGTGGTAAAGAATGGCCCAAGTACTTCGGCCCCTGCACATAGGTAGAAGACCCAGATGAAGCTCCTGGCTCCTGGCTTTGGGTCAGCTCAGCTTCAGACATTGCAACCATCTGGGGAGTGAACCAGTGGACGGAAGACCTCTCTCCCTCTCTATGCCTCTACCCCTCTGTAGCTCTGCCTTTCAAATAAATAAATAATTATTTAAAAATAAAATAAAATAAATCCTTAAAAAACTATAACTGGAGATCTTCCTGAAGTGATAGCATATATACCTTTTTTTTTTTTATTTGACAAGCAGAGTTAGACAGTGAGAGAGAGAGACAGAAAGAAAGGTCTTCCTTCCGTTGGTTCACCCCCAAATGGCCGCCACGGCCAGCGCGCCCAAAGCCAGGAGCCAGGTGCCTCCTCCCAGTCTCCCATGCGGGTGCAGGGACCCAAGCACTTGGGCCATCCTCCACTGCCTTCCCGGGCCACAGCAGAGAGCTGGACTGGAAGAGGAGCAACCGGGACAGAATCCAGCGCCCCAACCGGGACTAGAACCCGGGGTGCCGGCGCCGCAGGTGGAGGATTAGCCTAGTGAGCGGCGGCGCCAGCTTCCCTCCTTTTTAAAGGTATATATGCTGGCCAGCACCATGGCTCACTTGGCTAATCCTCCGCCTGCAGCGCCGGCACCCTGGGTTCTAGTCCCGGTTGGGGCGCCGGATTCTGTCCCGGTTGTTCCTCTTCCAGTCCAGCTCTCTGCTGTGGCCGGGAAGGCAGTGGAGGATGGCCCAAGTGCTTGGGTCCCTGCACCCGCATGGGAGACCGGGAGGAGACACCTGGCTCCTGGCTTCAGATCAGCACAGCGCACCACCCACAGCAGCAGTTGGGGGGTGAACCAATGGAAAAGGAAGTCCTTTCTCTCTGTCTCTCTCTCTCGCTGTCCACTCTGCCTGTCAAAAAAATAAATAAATAAAAAGGAGGGAAATATTGTCATCAAGTATTTTTTAAAAAATACTACAAATCTCTTTACAAAAATAGAAAGACAGCTCCCTAAATATAATATTTACAAAAGCACAAATACATATCAAGGGTGTAGTAGCACAGCAGTGAACAGGGCGGACAGAATAAGGAGGGGAGCAACGATTTTCTGCAGATATTCCTGCACAGGTTTAACACTTACAATCACACTGCTTCTCATACCCTCAAAGAAATCCAAACTTAAAATCAACCAGGGGCCGGCGCCGTGGCTCAATAGGCTAATCCTCCACCTTGCGGCGCCGGCACACCGGGTTCTAGTCCCGGTCGGGGCGCCGGATTCTGTCCCGGTTGCCCCTCTTCCAGGCCAGCTCTCTGCTATGGCCAGGGAGTGCAGTGGAGGATGGCCCAGGTGCTTGGGCCCTGCACCCCATGGGAGACCAGGAAAAGCACCTGGATCCTGGCTCCTGCCATTGGATCAGCGCGGTGCGCCGGCTGCAGCGGCGGCCATTGGAGGGTGAACCAACGGCAAAGGAAGACCTTTCTCTCTCTGTCTCTCTCTCACTGTCCACTCTGCCTGTCAAAAAAAATAAAAATAAAAAAATAAAAAAAAAATCAACCAGAACGTAGGGGAACCCAAAAGGCACCACAAACCCAAATCCCTGATAAAGCAGTACCATAACTGCATTCAAACAGGCAGAAAGGACAGAATAATGATAACACTGGATTATAATCCCTAGAATAAAATAAACACCTACATGTCCAAATCGATACAAATAGAGAGATGAATGAGAAGGGAAAGCTCTTCCTCACGACGGAATTCCAATATTAACACAGACAGAAGGTTGGAAATAGAGTTATCATTAGATGAACACCACAATAACAACACGACATCAAAATGCTAAAATCAGTGAAGATGTGATGAGAAATAAGAAATTTGTAGAGTCTCAATGGATTTCCCCATAAGATAGTCATTAATTACAAAAAGAAAAACAGTCATTTCACAGTGGAGAAATCAGGCAGATACCACCTTACTCAAGTGAACAGAGTTAAAATCGCCAGTAATAAATTACACAGACATCTGCATGCCCTGAGATGAATCAAGGAGAGAGGCAGAAAGCAGCCCTTCTTTGGGATTCTTGCCAAAATTCATAACCCAATCTAATCCTGAGCAAATACACAAAACCAAATGGAAGCACTTTCTACAAAAACTGATTAGCGTATTCATGTGTCAAGGTCAAGAAAGACCAAGGAACTGGCCAGCACTGTGGCATAGGGGGTTAAGCCACTGCCTGCGTTGCTGACATCCCATATGGGTGCCGGTTCTAGTCCTTGCTGCTCCACTTCTGATCCAGCTCTTTTCTATGGCCTGGGAAAGCAGTGGAAGATGGGCCAAGTACTTGGGTCTCTGCAGACACGTGGGAGACACAGAAGAAGCTCCTGGTTACTGGCTTCAGATTGGCTCTGCTCCAGCCTTTGCAGCCATTTGGGGAGTGAACTAGCAGATGGAAGACCTTTCTCTCTCTTTCTCCCTCTCTTGGCATGTAACTCTACCTCTCAAATAAATAAAATAAATCTTTAAAAAAAAAGAGAGAGAGAGAAAAAGACCAAGGGACTGTCACAGGAGAGTGACAGTTGAAGAGACGAAGGAAAACAATAAAACTAAAGACACCATGGGTTCCTGGACTAGAAAAAGGATGTTAGTTCAAAAATATCAACTAAGGTCAACAGATTAAGTTGACAGCATTGTATCAATGCTAATTTCTCTGGTTTTAATAATTCTGCTATGATTATGTAAGATGTTAACAGTAGCAGAAGCTAGGTGAAGAATATATGGGAACTCCTTTTCCTAATTTTGCAATATTCCTATAAATCTAAAATTTTTTTAAAAATATAAATTTGGTTAAAATATTAAAATCTTATTAGGTTCAAAATAACTTCTGAGTCACAACGCTACTTGTTATAATTGGTTCATCAATTAAAAATTAAATCTGAGCACTCGGGGTGGGTGTTTGGCATGGTGGTTAAGATGCTGCATAGCCGTTAGGATGCCACGGCTCATTCGGAAAGCCTGGGTGTGAGCCCTGGCTCTGCTCCTGATCCCAGCTTCCTCTTAACGTGCACCCTGGGAGCCAGCAGGAAACGGCTCAAGTAGTCTGCATGTGGGAAACCTGGGTTGCGTTCCCAGCTCTTGGCTAAACCCTGACCCAACCCTGGCTGTTGCAGGCATCTGGGGAATGAACAAGCAGACGGAAGATCTCTGTCTCTCTCTGCCTTTCAAATAAATTTTTAAAACTTTTTTAAATTAAAAAAAATAAAAAATTTGAGCACTTGAAAATTATCTTATTAAACAGATAAAAGAGAATGATTTCAAGAGTTTCCAGAGCAGCTCATTCACTTGGAAAACTGTAAGACATAACCAAAATCGCACAGTAAGAGCAACTGATTCCTTACTTACTTTAGGTACCACATGGGGTCGGCATCACTCGTAACCTTTTCATTGGCCTTCATTATCTTCTTTATCTGCAGAGGAAAGCGCAGCTTGAGGAAAACAGCCAGTTCCCAGGGAATCCCTGCCAGATGACTACCTCTAAGGTCTGGTGCTTACCTCCACATTAATGAAATAGTTGAAGGAATCTATGTGCTGCTTCACGAGGCCTTTCACCTAAACAGAAAAGGAAAAATCAGATTAGCAACAAAATAATAGATTCTGCAACAAACTCTAACCATACCTGCTCCTCAATGTTTTTACTGAAAACCCAAGTGGGGTTTAGTGAAAAAAAAAAATAAGGATCTCTACTAATAAAGCTGAAATAATTGCACTGGACATCAAAAGCAGGGTGGAACTCAGGGAACTGAGGTCTTCTTCCGTTCACCTGGCACAATGCTTTCAAGATCCACCACACTGCAGCATGGATCAGTACGTGATTTATTTTCCATATCAAATAATTTTCCACTGTATGGATATACACATTTTATTTATCCACCCATCAGCTGATGTCCACGTGTGCTGTTTCCACTGTTTGGCCATTACGGGTAATGGTAAAGTTTTTACACACAGTTGCGTTTCCATTTCTCTTGGGGACAATCGCTGGACCATATGGTAACTCTATGTGACCACCTGAGGAACCGCCAGTTGTTTACCAAAGCAGCTGCAACCACTTGTACCTTCCCACCAGTACAGCATGAGAGTTCCGATTTCTCCACATCTTTGTCAACACTTGCTACTGCCTTACTTTTCAGTTACAGTCATCTGAGCAGGTGCCCAGTGATCTCTCACCGCAGTTCCCACTTCTGCTTAGCAGGAGCCCATTCAAACTGAAGGGAAACTTTTCACCACATTACATTATACCCAGCAGCTCCTCTGACCACACACAAATCTGCTCCAGCTAAACTGGGTGCTGTCCCGCACACACCCTCGGGAGGTATCCTGATTAAACCAAGCTCTCTGCATCCGACCTTTCAGATTAGGTCATTCCTCTTCTTTTAAGAAGCGCCTTATGTCGGGCAGCCCTCTCTGACCATGTGTGCCATCAGTCTTTTGCCAACAGACTTTGGGTTTTATTGTTCCCACGCCACGCTACTAAGCAGACCACTTCAGTCATCAGACTACCACTCTCCCAACCACCACCTCACAGGCAGGGATGGTGCCTCCTAATTCCATTTATTTCCAAAACCTAGCCAAGTATAACAGTTGTATGAAGTTAAAAAAAAAGTTATTTGGTGACAAAATTTTAGTCTCCAAAAAAGCTATTTCTTCATTTTTCTCATCTGAAAAATAACCAATTATTACTAAATGTGAAACAATTACCTTTAAAAATGCTGGAAGCAGCCTCCATTTTTCCTGTGAATCAAAGCAACAAGAATATCAGAACACTGTGCTAACAATCATAAAATATAAAATAAGAACTTATTTTACCACATGTATTAGACTTCAATAAAAAGGTTTTTTCTTTTTTTAAGAAGAAAAAATACTGTCCTCAACAGTAGAGACAAGGGCTGTAAACAATAATCAATTCTCAAAATGTCAATTTCACTCAAATACATTACACTATTTTGCACATAATTAGTTACCACAGATAAAACATATAGTATTTGTCTCTTGGGGGCTACCCTATTTCACTAAGTATAATGGTTTCCTGTTGCATCCATTTTGCTACAAAAAAAAAAACAGGATTTCATTCTTTTTTACAGCTGAGTAGTGTTCCATAGTGTACCTATACCACATTTTCTTTATCCAATCATCTGTTGATGGGCATCTGGATTGATTCCACATCTTAGCAATTGTGAATTAAGCTGCAACAAACATGGGAGTACAGATAACTCTTTCATATGCTGATATCATTGCCTTTGGGTAAATTCCCAGGAATGGAATGGCTGGGTCGTATGGTAGCACTATTTTCAGGTTTCTGAGGAATCTCCATACTGTCTTCCACAGTGGCTGTACTACTTTGTCTCACCAACAGTGGATTAGGGTACCCGTTTCCCCACATCCTTGCCAGCATTTGTTGTTTTTGGATTTTTTTTTTTTTTTTTTTTTTTTTTTTTTTTTGACAGGCAGAGTGGACAGTGAGAGAGAGAGACAGAGAGAGAAAGGTCTTCCTTTGCCGTTGGTTCACCCTCCAATGGCCGCCGCTGCAGCCGGCGCACCGCGCTGATCCTGGCAGGAGCCAGGAGCCAGGTGCTTTTCCTGGTCTCCCATGGGGTGCAGGGCCCAAGCACCTGGGCCATCCTCCACTGCACTCCCTGGCCATAGCAGAGAGCTGGCCTGGAAGAGGGGCAACCGGGACAGAATCCGGCGCCCCAACCGGGACTAGAACCCGGTGTGCCGGCGCCGCAAGGTGGAGGATTAGCCTATTGAGCCACGGCGCCGGCCGTTTTTGGATTTTTAAAAAATATTTATTTATTTGAAAGGCAGAGAGAGGTCCTCCATCCGCTGGTTCACCCACCCAAATGGCCACACACCGGCAGAAGATGAGCCGATTCAAAGCCAGGAACCAGGAGCCAGGAGCTAGGAGCTTCTTTCAGGTCTCCCATGTGGGTGCAGGAGCCCAAGGACTGCTTTCCCAGGCGACAGCAGAGAGCTAGATCAGAAGTAGAGCAGCCAGGACTCGAATCGGCACCCATGTGGGATGCTGGCACTGCAGGCAGTGGCTTTACCTGCTATGACAGCCAGCTCAGTTTTTGATTTCTGTACAACAGTCATTCTAACTGGGGTGAGGTGAAACCTCATCGTGTCTTTGATTTGCACTTCCTCAATAAAAAGGCTATTTTCTTTTTTTTTTTTCTGTAGAATAAGAACTCATTTTATGAATCTAGAACAGTTATTGGATTGGATTAAATGCATTTCTTATTTGGTAGTAGAGTGTATACAGTCAGCTTTGCACATTCTTTTTTTAAAAAAAACTTTTATTTAATAAATATAAATTTTGAAAGTACAACTTTTGGATTACAGTGGCTTTCCCCCCATAACCTCCCTCCCACCCGCAACCATCCTGTCTCCACTCCCTCTCCCATCCCATTCTGCATCGAGATTATTTTCAATTATCTTTATATACAGAAGATCAACGTAGTAAAGATTTCAACAGTTTGCACCCACACAAACACACAAAGTATAATACTAGTATTACCGTTAATTCGCATAGTACAACACGTTAAGGACAGAGATCCTACATGGAGGGTAAGTACACAGTGACTCCAGTTGTGGATTTAACAATTGACACTCTAATTTATGACGTCAGTAATCACCCGAGGCTCTTGTCATGAGCTGCCAAGGCTATGGAAGCCTCTTGAGTTTACAAACTCTGACCATATTTAGACAAGGTCAAACATAGTCAAAGTGGCAGTTCTCTCCTCCCTTCAGAGAAAGGTACCTCCTTCTTTGATGGCTCCTTCTTTCTACCGAGATCTCACTCACAGAGATCTTTCAATTAGGTCATTTTTTGCCACAGTGTCTTGGCTTTCCATGCCTGAGATACTCTCACGGGCTTTTTAGCCAGATCCGAATGAAAAAGGCTATTTTCTAAGTAATTAATTAAAAAAGAAGTTATTTTTTAATTTATTTATTTATTTTATTTATTTATTTGAAAGGCAGAGTAACAGAGAGAGAGAGACAGAGAGATCTTCCATCTGCTGTTTCACTCCCCAAATGGCCATAAAAGCCGGAGCTGAACTGATCCAAAGCCAGGAACCAAGAGCTTCATCCGGGTCTGCCATGTGGGTACAGGGCTTGGGCCATCCTCTGCTGCTTTTCCCAAACACATCATAAGGGAGCTGGTCAGAAATGGAGCAGCCAGACTTGAACTGGCACCCACATGGGATGCCGGCATGACAGGTGGCAACTTAAACCATTAAGCCACAATGCTGGCCTCAAAAAAGTTATTTTAAGGTACCAAAATCAAGCCCCTGCAGCATGATGTGATTCAGATGCACAGAGCCAGGAAAGAAATGGTTATTTCTGAACCAGAAGGCTGGAATCGTGGTACTGGTTCCCTTCAGGGCTGTGCAAATTCAGACAAGAAACAGAAATCTTCTACGGCTGCTTCTTCAGCTCTCCAGAGAAGGGGTCCTGTCACCAGTTAAGGATGCAGACTTGGGGCTGGCACTGTGGTGTAGTGGGTAAAGCTGCCGCCTGCAGTGCCAACATCCTATATGGACGCCAGTTCAAGTCCCGGCTGCTCCACTTCTGATCCAGCTCTCTGTTATGCCCTGGGAAAGCAGTAAAAGATGGCCCAAGTCTTGGGCCCCTGCACCCATGTGGGAGACCCAAAGAAGTTCTTGGCTCCTGGCTTTGGATTGGCACAGCTCCAGCAGCTGTGGCCAACTGGGGAGTGAACCATCGGATGGAAGACCTCTCTCTTTCTCTCTCTGCGTCTCCTTCTCTGTGTAACTCTTTCAAATAAATAAATAAAATCTTTAAAAAAAAAAAAAAAAAAAGACTGGAGTCACACTGACAAGTCCAAATTCCACATGGGCCTTGGCCCAGCCTTCTAACACCTAGCCAGCAAATCTTTCCAGCTAAATGCGAGTGAAAATAAGATTTATTTCAGAGGATTAAACAACAAGACACATCATGGCAAAACAGAGCCTGGTACAGACAAGTACTAGTAAACACTGGCTTTGATAACCTCTTCAGGGTACTGCCTGGTGATCAGCACGCTTTGCACACACTCATAGACTGAATCTGTTGGAGTGATTATAACTCAACTTTGTAATACTGCCAAGTAATTATAAAGAAGTTCTAATAATCCAATAGACTCACTGACCATGTCACTGTCCTGCTAAAACCCTCCAAAAGCACTCCACTGCTCCCAGGAGGAAGTCCAAACTCCTTCAGATGTCTAAGAAAATCCTTCATAATCAGGAACCTCCCATAGCCTTCCTCTCGTCCTCTATTTTTCTTCCCTCTAGTACTACTAGATTTCCTTCAGTCCCTCGGTAACATCACGGCTCTTCTCACCTAGAGGTTTCCAAGTATCCTGTCCGCTCTGCCAGTTCTCTTCCCACTAGCTCCTCCCGGCTCACTGCTTCTCTCCCCCAAGCCAGCGAAGGTCCTGAAGCTTAGGGAGGTTACAATACATGGATTTGGGGGCAGGCATTGTGGCACTATGCACTTGGGTCCCTGCACTCACGTGGGAGACCCAGGCTTCTGGCTTCGGATCAGCCCAGCTCCAGCTGTTGCGGCCATTTGGGTAATGAACCAACGGGTGGAAGCACTCTCTCTCTCCCTCCCTCCCTCTCTCTTTCTCTCTCTAATGCTACCTTTCAAATAAATAAATCTTAAAAAAAAAAAAAAAAAAAAAAAGACTGCTTGGGATGCCTGCTCTCATTCAAGTGCCAGCCGGAGCCCCGGGACAGCCCCTTCCAATCCAGGTCCCTGCTAATGCACCCTGGGAGGCAGCAGATGATGTCTCAAGGGCCCCCGCCACGCACGCGGGAGACCAGGATGGAGTTCCCGGCTCCTGGCTTCAGCCTGGGCCAGCCCCAGCTGTTGAGTGAAGCGGGGATGGAAGATCTCTATCTTTCCACCATTCAAATGAATTAACTTTTTTTTTAACGGTGTTTTTTCAGGAAATTAAATTTGTCAACAGCTGCACGTGACTGGGCAGCTCACTGTGGGGCAGTTACCTTTACCTTCTGAGAGCCGGATGACGGCTATGGGGCTTCTCCCCAGAAAACACACAGGCCTATATCTGAGTTAATATTCAGCGTGTTTAAACATCGCTGAGGCCAAAACGTCAAGCCTGAATTCGGACTTCGACACTGGCCTAAGCTCCCTGGAACTCGGTGTCCGCCACGGGCCCACCAAGACGCGATACGTCTCTCACAGTGCCTACGCGGGCCCGTGCCGTAAGGGTTCCACAGCGAGAGCCACCGAAGCCGCGGCGCCACACAGCTCCGCCGGGACCAACCGGTCCATGAGCCCGACTCGCACGCGCAGGGCTCTGAGCATGCGCGGAAGCCCTGCGCATGCGCAGAAGACACCAGCCGGCCTCCCTCAGCCCCAGGGCTCTTTGGGCAACGCCCCCTCAGGAAGCGTCCCGGTCCCTTCCACAGCCCGCTCGCCGTACACTCACCTCTACAGTCGGGATCGGCGCAGCAAGCTCCTCTGGGCTCAGGTTTCCAAACTCCTCCGCTAGCACGTCCATGCTGTTCACGACGAAGGAAAAAGCACACTGAACCTCCACGCCGGTCTTCGGCAAGCAACCCGGAGCACTTCTGCAGGTCGGTGCGCAACGGCCTAAATGGTCCCCGCCGCGCTTGTTCACAGGTGGCACGACAGAAAGGTTCCGCCTGCTACGGGACGAACCTGCGGTGGAACCCGGATGTGGTCGAGGCCGAGCTGGAAACTGCGCCCCCTGGTGCAGCTCCCAGGTCGTGCCCGAAAGATTCCAATTTCTGACCTACACGTGTATTGGCCAATGCTCCAATAATTGAGGCCAGCGAAATACAGTGGTGGTAATTTTAAAAGTAATTCGAGGAAGAGTGCGAACGGATAATTTGCACAATTTGAAGCACTAGGAGAATTCATTTTGTTCAATCCAAAACGCACTATGTAGTCTGGAAGACCAAGAAACTTCCCAAATGCCTAGAAGTAGGGTATTGATTACCTAAACCGCGCGCGGTACATGCGTGTGGTGGGATAGCATACAGCCATCACAGCGGACACAAAGTGGGGAGAAATTCGCATTAGAGACTAGGGCGTAACAGCACAGTAAGACCAAGGAGTAAGTTCGATATCCAGCACAAGTAGAAATACAATAGGAAAAGATGATATTTAAAGCAATAGGGGAAACCCAATAAGTGATGCTGGAACACCTGACTAGCCATTTGGTTTGAAAAAAAAAAAAAAGGCAAAACACAAGTAAATCCTATAAGGATTAAATATTTCACTGATAAAATCTCAAAACGTCAGTGAATATATTTGTAATGTGAAGATAGTGAAAGCAGCAACCCGAAAGTCTTTATAAAGGATAATAGAATTCTAAACATGATTTTGATTCTTTGAAAGATATTTAATTTTGTAAATATTTTTAAACATCATAGAGTTTCTTTAGATACACAACTTGGGGGAAGATAAAGGATTGGTCTCCCTAATTCAGAATGAGCTCTACAAATCAATAGGAGAAAAAAAATCCCACTGTGAAAAACAAGGCACAAGATACCAATAGTTGCTTAATAGATACAGAGGTAGTGTTTGGGGAGCTGGATGTTTGCATAACTGTGAATATGCTTAATACCAATGAACCTGAACCATGTTTAATGATTAAAATAGCAAGGTTTATGTGTATTTTACAATTTTTAAAAAGTTCATGAAAATTGGTAAATATGTGCAGTACTTTCCAATCCTTCCCCATACATGTAGAACTCTTGCATCGTGTCTCAGCTTGCTTTCTGTGGCTATGATGAAATAGCTGAGGCTCAGTCATGAAGAAAGAGATTTGTTTAGCTCACAGGTTGGGAGGTTCAAGGGCATGATGCTGGCTCCTCAGCTCTGCTGAGGGCTCCCTTGACTGCATCACACAGTGTGGGGAGCAACTGGAGCAACTCGGACTAGACTAAGTTACTGGAATTAAGACTTATTCTATGCATCTGCTCTCCCACAATATGGCGCTGAGAAGGGAGAAACAGCTTCTACACAGCTGCCTCCAGTTCAACCAATAAACTGCAGGAGCTGCTCCTGATTGGAGGAGAGCAGCGTACTCGGCATGTGGGTAGCAGAGTTGGGATTGGTGAAGAGGACTATAAAGGAGGAGAGAGACAACATGCACGAGGAACATCTAAGGGGAACATCTGAAGGAACATCTGTAGGAACATCTGTGCAGCCCCCGAGAGAGCCGGCCGGCGGTGTGCCACTCCCCCGCGGAAGTGGGGAATGTGGCTAGGGGGAACCGCCCTTCCACGGAGGTGGAAGGGTCGGTAGCCAACCCGGGAAGAACCAGCAGCAAACCCGGGGAGGGCCGAGCAGACGAAAGAACAGCGCAGGGTCCTGTGTCGTTCCTCCACGAAGACGGGGAGCGACACACAGCATGTGGCACATGGCAGCATGGCGAGGGAAGGGTCACAAGGAAAGACAAGAAGCCCGAGAGCAGTGAGGGGCCAGTCTTGCTGTGTTGTAATTACCTTGTTGAGAGAACTAAATCCTTTCCCAGGGCAGTGCTCCTAGTCACCTTACTACCTGCCACTGCACCCCATCTCTTACAGGTCCACCCCCTCCCAATATGACCACATTGGGGACCATGCTTCCAACACGGGAACTCTTGAGGGTCTCACTCAAACCAAATGCAAACCAATCACGTTAGGTTAGTCTGATGTCTTTCTTTCTTTCTTTCTTTCTTTTTTTTTTTTTTTTTTAATTTCACAGGTAGAGTTATAGACAGTGAGAGAGAGAGAGAGAGAGAGAGAGAGAGAGAAAGGTCTTCCTTCCGTTGGTTCACTCCCCAAATGGCCACTTTGGCCGGCACTGTGCTGATCCAAAGCCAGGAGCCAGGTGCTTCCTCCTGGTCTCCCATGCGGGTGCAGGGCCCAAAGACTTGGGCCATCCTCCACTGCCTTCCTGGGCCACAGCAGAGAGCTGGACTGGAAGAGGAGCAACCGGGACTAGAACCCAGTGCCATATGGGATGCCGGCGCCACAGGTGGAGAATTAACCAAGTGAGCCATGGCGCCGGCCCTAGTCTGATTTCTGAAATAAATTTCACTGCTTGTATCTTCTAAGTAGTATGCTGACATCTGGAAAGAAGGGGAAGAAAGAAGAATTAGCTCCTGGCTTTGAAGTCCTTAGAGCTTACTAAGAGAGACAAGGTATATCTGTGTGTTGTCCCTGTGAGTTACCAGAGAACTACCTATTTAGTGTGGAAGGGACTGGAAAAGTGATCCATGGACGGCAGAGGGGCTCGAGGTTGGCTCAGGAGTGTTGACTTTTGTACACAACATCCTGTTTGCTTTTTTCCACTATTCTCATTGGTCCTCCAGCTTTGGCAGACATCAGCCTGAGGAGTTTTAAACAATCCCAGCTTTCTGATTGGTAGCTTGGGGCTGGGGCCTGAAATCTGCATGGCTAACAAGTTCAGTGATCACACTTTGGAAATCCCTGCTCTAAGGGAAGGCTCACTCGTACGGTCATCCTCTGTCAGCCCTCCCTTACCTGGTGGTGTGTCTGGTTCTGCAGGATGTAAGTTCCTGAAACAGGAGCTGTCTTGTTTGTGTTTTATATTCCCGGGTTCTAACCCGTTGTTTGCTCCTGAATAAATCTCTGTTGAATCAATAATCTGAAAGAAATAAATGCGATGAGTGATAACAAATTTGACATTCTATGAGGGGACTTCAGAAAGTTTGTGGAAATGGAATTAAAACTGATTTTTGCACAAAATTATTTTGAAATCCATGCATATGACAGCTCTTCAAAAAGTTCATGAAATTCGTATTATGAAAAAACTACACATGGGGGCCAGCGCTGTGGCATAGTAAGGTGAGCCTCCACCCCTGTGGCACCGGCATCCCATATGGTTCAAGTCCCAGCTGCTCCACTTCCAATCCAGCTCCCTGCTGGTGGCCTAGGGAAGCAGTTGAGGATGACCCACGTGCTTGGGCCCCTGAGTCCACATGGCAGACCTGGAGGAAGCTCCTGGCTCCTGGCTTTGGATTGGCTCAGGTCCAGCCATTGTGGCCATTCGGGGAGTGAACCAGTGGGTGGAGGACCTCTCTCTGTCTCTTTCTCTCTGTGACTCTGACTCTCAAATAAATAGATGAATCTTTTAAAAAAAAAAAAGTAAAAGAAATTATAAAACAAAAAAAAAATACACATTGGATTTGAAAATTGTCTTTTGCACCTAAGTGTATCTTTGTTTTCCCCCTAGTTCTTGTGAAATACAGAAGGCTCTTATCCATGATCCCGAAGGCCTACATGGAGATAACTGGCTGACGCTCGCAGCTGTCAGCCCTTGCAATCCTCTCTGAGTTATACAGGCACCCCAGGTCAAATCTGTGACTTCTTTCTAATCCTCTAAGGGCTGGAGTTTTGAAATCAAAAGTCCAGGAACAGTCTTGTGATTTATGTTTGCTGCTGTCACAGCTTTTTCCTGGGGTATTAGTATATAGAAAGCCTCTGGGGCTGAGGCTGTGGTGTAGTGGGCTGAGCCTCTGCCTGCGGCACTGGCATCCCATATGAGCACTAGTTCGTGTCCTATTGCTCTTCTTCTGATCCAGCTCTCTGCTATGGCCTGGGAAAGCAGCAGAACATGGCCCAAGTGCTTGGGCCCTGCACTCTCATGGGAGACCCGGAAGAAGCTCCTGGCTCCTGGCTTCAGATTGGCCCAGTTCCAGCCATTGTAGCCGTTTGAGGCATGAACCAGTGGATGGAAGACCTTTTTTAAAAAAAAGTATTTATTTTTTTATTTGACAGGTAGAGTTATAGACAGTGAGAGAGAGAGAGACAGAGAAAAGTCTTCCTTCTGCTGGTTCACTCCCCAAATGGCCGCTATGGCCAACGCTGTGCTGATCCAAAGCCAGGAGCCAGGTGCCTCTTCCTGGTCTTTCATGCAGGTGCAGGGGCCAAGCACTTGGGCCATCCTCCACTGCCCTCCAGAGCCACAGAGAGAGCTGGACTGGAAGAGGAGCAACTGGTACTAGAACCCAGTGCCATATGGGATGCCAGCACCACAGGCGGAGAATTAACCAAATGAGCCACGGCGCCGGCCCGAAAGACCTTTCCGTTTGTCTCCATCTCTTTGTCTGTAACTCTACCTCTCAAATAAATAATGAATAAAACCTTTACCAAAAAAAAGTAGAGTAGTTTGAATAGAGAGAAAGGAACGTCCCAGAGGGGAAAAATGGTTGGAATATGATCCCATCACCAGTGGCAACCAGGTGAGAAATTGAACAATGCCATAGGATGGGGGTAGAGAACAGGAGACACTGGTTAAAGGTC